TGGCTGCGCTGAGGGACTGCAAGGTGAGGGCAGGGCTGGCGGGCTGCGAGCGGCTGACAGCGTGACGGGCTGTGGGGGGATGGCGCGATGAGGGGCTGCAAAGTGAGGACAGGTCTGAGGGGCTGCGAGGGGAGGGCACTGCTGAGGCTCTGAGCCAGCGGGGTTCGGTCCTACCCGTGCCCTGCGCCCAGGGGCGGCGGGTGGGCCTCCATGGGGGTCCCGGGGGCTGCCGACGGGCTTTGGGCTGTGGCGGGAGGGGAGCTAAGGCGGGCTCGCTGTGGATGGAGCTTACCTTCATACACTGGTGTGGGTTTTGGAGGAGGGAAGCTGCTGTTGGGATCTGGAAGAGGGGAAGGGTCGCTGTCTCATCCCTTCTACTGCGGAGGCAGATCCATGTCTGGGCATCTCTGGGTCTTGTTCCCAGCGCAGGGGTCCCACGGCACTCACCCGTCCTTTCCGTGGGCCTCAGAAGTGGGTCAGGCCTTAGATTAAATCAGCCTCGGGTCAAAGGATGCAACCTACAGGAGCTGCTTAGTGATTAAGCCATTTGCTCTCTTTCTGATAAACTCCTTTTATGGCAATGTTTTGGTTAATTAGGGCAGTGGCAGGTTAAAACAAAGTCTTGAAGATTGCATGTGACAGGTGCATGGTTGATAGAGCTCTGGGGATCTGTCACGCAAGGAATTCAAGAGGTGCTAACTGCAGCCCACAGAGAGCACAATTCTCAGAGTCAACTAAGGTTCTAACAGAGAAAAAAAATACAGATAAACAGTCACCAGATCTCATGACTGAACTCTAATCTTAGAGCAGGGGAAAGGGCAAAGCTTTGGTCTCACCAAGAAGCAGTGAGAAGAGCAAAGGCCATGACTCTCTAATACAAGAAACATCAGAGAAGACTCCTGGAGTTAGAGGATTGTGGGAGATCAGCGTAAGAGAGCCCAAAGGAAGCCACTGTGGGAAGGGGAACTGATAATTGCCTTACAGACTTTTGAGGCTGATTTTTGCCCACTCACACACCCTTCTGGATTTCTTCAGTCACAGTCTGAGGCCTCACTGAGAGAAGCCCCAGGACCAGAGTGTCCCAGGAAGTCTGGGTAGGACCCCTTATGTATGTCCAAGAGTACAAGGGGTGCTGCCTTTTCTATGGTCCCAGTACTTAAGTTCTAGTTGGCAATGACAGATTAGGTTTGGAGCACATCTTTTACATCTCTTAGGAGCCAGCAGCTGCTGTGGTGTGGTTCTTCCCTGTACCCCATTGTCCTGATGTGCTAATAGTGGCACAGAGAAGTGGCATCCCTGATGTGACACAGTCTTGCTGCCATTTTCCTGTTGCCAGAGTGGGAGTTTTCCAGTGAGGAGTGTGTCAGGTGGGCTTTAGCCATAGCAGGACAGAGGCTTTCCAGAGGGGCTGGAAATAGCACTTACCTCAGCTAGATCGGCAGTGTCCTTAGTGATGGATGCAGGCCCATTTTCCGCTAACCCTTGTTCTGCTGGTTTGTTCTGGTGCCCACACACACAGACTTTTCCATTCTTGTGAATCAGCATCAAGTCCCCTCAGAATGGGACGTAATTTTCTGCTTGGCAAGTACCTCGAACTGTTGTATAAAATAGTAAAACAGGCAGTGATCCAAACAAGGCTTGTTTTGGATGACTGATGCTGAGAATGGCTCCTGGCCTACTTTACAGGGCACCATAGAAGATAGCCTGTAAGTAGCAAGCCTAACCTTGCTATCTGCCTGACTTTTCTCTTTATTCTTTTTTCTGGATGATAAATGACAGAGAATAAAAATTTTCAGGTCCCCCAAGGTTGCTGAGTAGAGCTTAAAGACTAACTGGCAAAAAAAGATAGAGGGGTTTAAAGGTATGTACACAGGATTATAAACATGGCTGGAACCAGTGGAGAAACAGATAAGACGGACTACAGTGTTTTTTTGGCAAGTTATGTAGCACATACAACAGAGAGCAACAGAAACATGAAACAACAGCACATGCCCAAAGTGAAAGTTCAAGGAAAGGTCACCTTTAATATCAAAGCATTCAGTGAATACAACCACCAGAGACCCCTTTTTATGACTTTCCAGGACCATAAAAAATGTCCAGTAGAAGGCAAATGCATTCAAATTCATTTTAGGAAATAGTTCTGTGTATTAGATAAGAAGCATATATTAATGAATATGTATGATTATGATGGATAAAGACCTTGTTGCAAAGTCTCACCACAGCCACAGAACAAGGAGAGTGTGTCCTGTGCAGGTAATGAATTCCTGCTTTCTAGTGCTTCAAATTGTGTTAGGAAATTTATTCTGGCCAATTTCAGTAACATGGATATAGCATGAATTGTAAAGAAAATGTGTAATTTTAGATTCAGGTCTACTCTTTCAGGCATGTAATTTGAAGACTCAATTACCTTAGCTGTTGGAATGTGAGCCTTTAATCCAATCACAGTGGGAAAGTTTTAGGATATATTAACAAAGTTGTCTTTGCCTGGCTACTTAAAAATTTTGACAGATTATTATAGATAGGAAATGTTTTAAAATGGAGGATGAGAAGAGCTGAACTCTTGCATTACCAGGAAGGACTAAGCCCCCATTAGGAGACATTTGAATTAGCTTGCCCCAGGTCTGGTTTTATAATATGTATTTTTGTAATATATTCTGTCCTCTGTGTACTGCATTAAAGTAATGCTGAACTGATTGGGGCAGCTTCTCAAATGAACTCTGCTCATTTACCAGCAGCTAGCCAGAAGATATTGTGCCTCAGTCATGTTATGTTACTAGATATTCTGGCACCCCAATTCTGTTTTGCTTTTTAGCTTTATCCATTTCCCATGTGCTTATTGTTATCAGGCTTGTGTATAAATCTGTGATTGAAACTTTCAGTTGATTAACTCAAGAGATTCAGTGGATTTGATCTGCCAGGCTGTTTGGTCTATAGGCTGATTCAGAAGAACATTATTGTTTATAGAAGATTACAGATTTATAGATTATAAGAGAACAGGGTTTTATTTTACCATATCTCTACTTCACACGAGGTGTGCCTGTAGCAGAGGAAGTCACCAGCAGCTGTAGTGAATTCAGAATGGTGCTGTCATTATGAGCTGGGCAACCCATCGGGATCTTCTCTTACACTTGGTGATTGTTGGCTTCTTTAGTCTCACTTCTCAGTCCACCTAATTGAGTCTTAGATGTAACTACAACTGAACAAAAGGTTTGTTTCTACCTCACACTGTCCTTCTAATTTTTCTTTTTAAAAGTGCACAGCAGATGAAGATGTCAGAGCAGCATCAGTTTGAGCATTTGCCAGTGTAGCCTGGAAGATGAGGGTGTAAAAGGACCATGTATGTGTTTGTTTGTTGTGCAGGCCTGGCAGGATGCTGGACTTGTCCTGTCCACGACCAGCAATGAAGCCTGTAAGCTCTTTGATGCTGTGCTGTCACAGGTATGACTGAAAAGCGCAAGAAAATGTGATTTGAAGGGACTCGTGCATGAAACACTCATTACTGTAGTTGATATTTAAATATCTTATCAGCTGGGAGAGCGTCAAAATCAGTTCACCACAGGAGTTCAGCCTTTAGCTGGCAGCAGGAAAACCTTTTAGCAGAGAGCTGTGCCAGAGGCTGCCATCTGTGGTGAAAACCTCATCCAGTGTGCTTGTTCCACTTGATACCAGCAAATCAGCCGGTTGACAAAAACCCATAGAAATTTAGGGTGATTGGTTCTGCTGGTGACTGAGTTATATTCAACCCCAGTTTTTCTGTTTTTCTACTACACTAAACCTACCTTAATGCAATATTTGTCTTTTAGTAATTTTCCTTGCTTTTGTGTCTTGGTTTTAAGTATCTGTGAGAACAAAAAGAAGTCCAGGACCATAAAGGATTTCTCAAGCCTTTGTTGCTCTGTCTCTCTTACAGTATGCAACTTGGACCAATAATGAGAGCCTTGGAGGTATTGACAGATGTCTCTCCAAGCTAAAAGCAGCAGATCCAAACTTTAGTGAGTATAACCTTTGATTCTGAGTATGAAACGTGCTGGATTAATGCCTGCTGTCTTGATATTTATCTGACTTTGTTTATGCAAGGTCAGAGTGATAACTTATAGAATTCTGTAAAACTTCCTCAAAATACAGAGCAGACAGAATGCTTTTGTATGGTGCTTTTTTCTTTTCATTTCACATAATATTTTAGTAGCTGTCATGAAAACGTTCTGAGAACTTTAGGCTTGGGAGACTTCCTGGACCCCTGTGTCCACAAGTCAGTTTTATTGAAAATGCTCAGCTCCTCTGGTGTTTTGTGGAGCTGAAGGCTTTACTGTGAGCTCAGCTGCTGCTTTGCTGTTTCCTACAGCAATGGGACATGTCATTGCCAATGGCTTGGAGTTGATTGGCACTGGGAGGACCGTGAGACTCGACAAGGAGCTGGACAGCGCCGTGAGAGCCATGGTGGCACTTTCAAAGTCACAGCCACTGACAGAGCGGGAGAGGCTTCATGTGTCAGCGTTGGACATGTTTGCCAGGGGGTGAGTCCTTTGTCACCCTGCTCAAGGGGCTGTGAAGAGTTCCTTAGTCTACTGCAGGCAGAAGTGAAATTTGGCAGTAGTGGTGTGTGATGTTAGCTGACATCTAGCAGAGGATTTGGGTTAGATGTCACAGATTGTCCCTGAATTTCTCTCTCCACCCTAAGTGCCATGTCTAGCTGGTAAGCAGCACTGTACAGGTCAAATGCTCTATTGTCACCACTTCCTAGCATTAAACACTACACGTTTTAAATGTGCCACAGATCCATCAGTGTGGTTTACAACTAGGAAATGAAGTGTTTGGCTACAGTAGGGTCCAGACTCAGATTCACAGAAAGTTACAGACTTCTCTTTCTTGTCTCCCTATGTCAAAACCCATTTTCCCTGTAAAACAGGGAGATAAGAGTGTCACACGTGCTGTAGAGGCTCACTGCTTCATTCCATATGATAAATCTGTATAAATTGCAGAACATATGGACTGATGATTCACTTTCATTATTTGTTTGCCAGACAAATGGGTGAGCATATATTTACTTCACATCTCAGCAAAGGAAATGAGGAAGCCACTGAAGCCCTGCCACTGGATTTGATTCCCACAAAAGGAGAGGGAAGGAGTGTCTTTGTACATACAAAGTTCCATTAATTATGGTGGGTCCCTGTAGGAACTATTCAGCACTGTAGGAAAATATTTAGATTTATGGTTTAAGCTTGTTTAATTTTCATTATGTATTACAGTGATACAACATGATTTGTTTCATGAGAGGTGCCAAATGAAGATAATCCAGTTATTAGCTTAGAAAAGACAAGAATTCTGTCAAGGAAAAGAATAAGTCATTTGGTACTGAATTTTCTAT